AGAAGACAAACGCACATCAGGGACTACTGGCTTGGAAATAGTGACGATGTAATCAAAACAAGCAACCAGTACGAAATCTTACTAGAAAAAAACGATAACGAATACACAGGTAAAATAAATAACCCACCTTCAACACCTACAATAACTAAAGTCGCGAAACCACCACCTATTTTTGTAAACGGAGTTTTAAATATCAGCCCGTTAAAAACCTTACTTGAACAAGTCGCAAAAAATGAATATATTTTGAAGTTCTTAAAAATAATGAATTAAAAATTCAATTAAATAATCCGGAACATTTTTTCCTAATTATATCGGAACTAGAGGAAAAAAACACTGATTTTTATACTTTCCAACAAAAAGAAAACAAATCATATAAAACGGTTTTAAAAAATATACACCCATCGGTAAATTTAGATGAATTAAAAAATTAAATAAAATCATATAATCATGAAGTGATGAAAATAACAAACATTAAACATAAAATCTCAAAACAACCGTTACCAATATTTTTCATAGAAATTAAAATGAAAGAAAATAACAAAGAAATATATAAAATCGATAAATTAATGCAACAAATAATTAGTTTTGAGCCTCCGCGAAAGAAAAGAGAAATTCCTCAGTGCATGTTTGCCAAGAATTTGGCCAGACTAAAAATTATTGCCACAGAATACCAGTCTGCGTAACATGCGCTAATAATCATTTAACATCAGATTGTTCCATCAAACATAAAATTAAAACTGTGAAATGTACAAACTGCGGGAGAAACCATGTAGCTAGCTACAAGGAATGCAGTGCAAGAAAACTCCTGTAATAAAAACTTTTTCCAGCATTAAGGCCAAAACAGTTTGCAGTATCAAAAGAAGAAAATACCGTTAGACCAAATGTTTCGTATACACAGGCTACTAGCGAGAATGTATTCATACCAAGTGAAGAACCAAATCAAACACAGCCACCTCAATCAAATGTAAACAATAACAATGACAGTCAGCTGGTAAACATGATGACTTAACTAATGAACAGAATGGATACAATGTTAAATCTGCTTACAACGCTCATAAACAAGATTAAATGAATACAGGAATAAAATTTACAATATGGAACGCTAACGGTTTAGCGCAAAGAAGTATGGAATTAAAACCTTTTCTCATAAAAAATAATATAGATATAATGTTAATATCTGAAACACATTTCACCGATAAAAATTTTCTAAAAATATCACGATATATGTTATACACTACAAATCATCCAGACGGCAATGCACACGGAGGAACGGCTATAGTAATTAAAAATACTATTAAACATCACGAAATTGAACCATATAAATATGATTATCTACAAGCAACCAACATCTCAATCACAGACAAGTACGGTCAAATAATAGTTTCAGCATTGTATTGCCCTCCAAAACATAAGATAACCAAGGAACAATACAAAAAATATTTTGATAGCCTGGAAAATCGCTTTCTTGCAAGAGGCGACTACAACGCTAAACATCCATGGTGGGGGTCTAGATTGATAACGCTGAATCTAAAAGGAGCAATTCTATACACAGTGATGAAAACAGAAAATTTAACGCCAATATCAACAGGCGAACCTACATACTGGCCCTCCGATATAAATAAACTACCGGACTTAAAAGACTTTGCAATTATAAAAGGCTTATGTTCTAAAAATATAACAGCTAAATCATGCCTCGAATTAACTTTAGATCACTCCCCAATTATTATTAATTTCGCCTCAACAATAGAATTAAACTTAAAGAAAAACAGCCCCTTATATAATGAAAAAACAGATTGGAATTTATACAGAGAAATATTAAATGAGAAGCTTTCGTATTACATACCACCAAAAACAAAATAAGATATTGATATTGCAATTGAAAATGTCAATAATATTATTTATAATACTGTTAAAAACGCGACTCCAATATACCCTATGAATAAAAAAATAAATTTAACCAACTCTAAAGCTGTATCTGACAAAATTAAACAAAAAAGATTAAGAAAAATTTGGCAGCAAACTAGATTACAAATAGATAAATCGAATTATAATCGATCAATAAAACAAAAAAAAACAAAAAAAAAAATAAACCAACCGCAAAGCTTCTCTCCTCCTATTTTAAAAAATGACAATACATGGGCTGGAACAGACATCGATAAAGCTAATACTTTTGCTAAACATTTACAAAACGTATTCAACACACCGCAACGTAAAATAGCAAAAGATGAAGAACAAAATTTATTAAATAACATTCAAAATAATAATGTAAATAATTATACACATAAGAGCATTAAAACTAAAGAAATAAATCATATAATTCGCCATTTCAAAAATAAAAAAAGCCCGGGACACGATAATATAAATGCAAGGTTATTAAAAGAACTCCAATAAAAGCGGTAAGATATATAACCATTCTGTTAATTCAATTTTTCGCTTACACTATTTCCCTACGGTATGGAAAATAACAACAATAATACTTATATCAAAACCGGGTAAACCGCCCCAACAAGTAACTTCATACAGGCCAATCAGTCTACTGCCAACGTTATCCAAAATCTGTGAAAAAATAATAATTAAAAGACTACATAAAATACTAACAAAATAAAATATAATACCAGATCACCAATTCGGTTTCCGTAATAATCATGCTACAATAGAACAAATAAATAGAGTAACCATATAAATAAGAAATACCTTTGAAAAAAACGAATACTGTAATGCAGTATTTCTTGATGTAACACAAGCATTTGATAAAGTTTGGCACGAAGGGCTATTATATAAACTAAAAAAAATGTTACCAAAAGAACTTTATTTACTACTGGAATCATATCTAAGTTCTAGAACCTTTAAGGTAAGAGTAAATAATGAAACAGCAAAACTTTATCCAATAAAAGCCGGTGTCTCCAAGGAAATGTTCTTGGTCCTATATTATACCTAATTTACTCCCATGATCTCCCCAAAATGGAAGACGTCAGCATAGCCACGTACGCAGATGACACAGCAATATTAATATCACATGTTAATGAAATAACAGCCTCCAACATAATGCAGAAATACCTAGACACAGTTCTTAAATGGTTCAACAAATGGAGGATAGTGATAAATGAAACTAAATCAATTCAAGTAACTTATACAAAAAAGAAAGGATACTGTCCATCGGTATACATAAATAATCACCCAATTCTACAAGGAGAGAAAACTAAATATCTTGGAATGCACATGGATCGAAAACTTACCTGGAGAGACCATATCTGGACCAAACGAAAACAACTCAATCTACAAACGAGGAAATTTTACTGGTTACTAGGAAGAAAATCCAAACTGTCAATCAAAAACAAATTACTAGTATACAAATCCATAATTAAACCAGTATGGACATACGGCATACAACTTTGGGGCACAACCACAAAGTTTAACATCGATATCATAGAAAGATTTCAAAATAAAACAATAAGATACATCACTGATGCACCATGGTATGTAACAAATGAATACATAAGGAAGGATGTCAACATTAAGACCATAAGAGAAGAAATAGAATCAACTTGTAAAAAATATACCAGTAGGATAATGGAACATTCAAATCGTCTAGCAAATGAACTAATTGATACAACACCATTAGTCTCAAGATTTAAAAAGTACAAAACACTATTTATTCATAATTAAAGGAGCACGGCAATAGTATATTGGTACATAACAATGGTGAAGTACCCTCATGAAATTATATCAAATATTTTTGTAACCAATTTTGTAATTGTATAATAAAATTTACTCATTGTTAGCAGACAGTCTGTAAATAAATAAATTGGAAATAAAAAAAAAAAATAAAAATATACGATGCATATTATTTTAGAATTATAAATTAAAAATTCAGACATAGGGAAGAGTGGGAATAAGTATTTTATACCCAATTTAAAACATACAAAATAAACTTCTGAAAATAAGTAGTAAAAAGAAATTTATAAAATAAAATTATTCACTGCAACTATATTAAAATGTTGTGCCAGAATCCTTATGATAGTATTATAATGAACTAAATATAGAATATAATAAGACAAACAATAAAATTAAAGCTTGGAGTATTCAGATTTCTAAAATTAATAAAACAATATAATTAATAAAACAGATATATTATTGTAGGTTACCCAAAGTAGTTAAAGTTTTATATATAGTAAACAAATCATTAAACAAAATCTAAAAGCCAGGTATTAAAAAAACTATAACTGTTTATAAATAAATATTAATGTAATTTTTACTATTATATAAATGTTTCTAGTATTAAGCATTTTTTTTAACTTTTTTTAAAATTAAATTCATATTATTTAAGTTTTTATATACATATTTCTATTAAGTTTCTATACATGAGCAAAAATTCTTTTTATGTAGACTAAAATGGTAAATACTATTTAATCATTCAAATATTGTAAAATAAAATTTTTTAAAAAATTTGCTGAATTTCATTAAATAAAAAAATAATTTAATACTATCTTAGAAATTTCTACATGATATTCAATTATTATAACTCAGCACTACCATACACTAATATTATTACTACTATTATTAGAACTCATGGTATTACTATTTAGGTTCATTTCTACTTAAAGTTCAGTGAATAACTTTTTATCAGCCATTCGATTTATGAATTCACAATTATGAGAAAGATAAAAAAGTTTTTGCTTATTTTAGTGACTAGTAAATAATAAGCTTGATGAAGCAAAAATATTACTTTTATCAAAACTCATGAAATAGTCTACTTCTAATATTGAACATTGCTTCATTTTATATATAGGCATTCTATATTCAAAATTTGTAAATCATAATCAATAATTCAGCAACAACAAAAATTATTAGTTTTCCAAGAGTATTCATAATCAAATCTATTCTATTATTGTGTACACTATACATAAAGATGTGAAATGAATAATGTCAATTAGAAATCTTGCAGTATCCTCTATTGTAGTTCATTAAACCATTATAATTTATTAATATTATTCACTTACAAGAGCTAGCCAACCACTCTCCATTTGGGCTAAATTTAACAGAAGAAACAGCTTTGGTATGACCTGCTAAAGTGTATTTTAAGCTGTAATTAGGTTTCTGCAAATAAAAAATACCAAGAACGATTTATATTTTCGTTTCGTTTAGGTTAAACTCATGACTAAAACTTAAGACATACCACTGCTGAATTACTTTTGCTGGTAGATAGTGAGGTATTAGGAGACGATAACATGATAAATATTTTAATTAATGAAATTAAAAAAAAAACAATAATTGTCTATTTCTATATTGTATTATAATAAAGAAAATTATGAAAAAAGGGGATCGCAAGCTAAGGGTGTTCACAGAACGATTCTGACACTTAAATATGACATGAATTCTGACACCATGACACGTTGAAAAAGGATATGTCATGAGCCACTGCGCAGCAAGCCATGCGCAGGTTATTTCTAGGGATTTTAAAGGGGAGCGTATTTTGAATACAGAATGATAAAAATGAAAACAAACAAAAAGCATGGATTTCTAGAGGAACAACAACAAAATCGAGAAATGGAAATAAAGGTCCGATCGTCAAAGCTTAACGAAGCATGTGCTAATACTGCAGCAACGATGTTATCTTCGATTATAGAAGAACAAAGAAAAGCCTGTGCATTGAAAATATTAGAAGTCATTTATAAGCCTTAAATTGAATTATATTTTTCAATATCTTCAAGGATAATTTATTAGTTGTATATCAAAACAAGCATCAAGTTGTGTATCAAAATAATAGCTATACTAATATATTTAACTGTCAATGAAAATGAATTATCAATTTCTGCTTATTGAATTCATTCTTCAAAAGAGCACGTTTTATAATCAATACAATTTGAGAACGGTATAAATCTTTCAATCGAAGAAACTAAACCAATTAAAATGCTTTTGATGGAGAAGATGCTGCTGCAGTATACTTTCTTTTTTCAAATGTGGTGACTTTTTACTTTAATAATTTTTTTATACATCACAGTTTTTTTTTAAACAACAAATGTAGTAAACAATTATTTTAGAAAATAAAGTAATATTTTAAGACAGCAGACTTGTAAGTGTCAAACCATGCGCATGTTTACATATAATCCTGCTTTATTACAAATTTTACATACAACAATAAGTTTTGATCTCTAGTATTTTATTTCACGCAGATAAAATATAATAATAGGTATAAAAAAATATTGCACTTTGAAGAATTTCAACTAGATAAACGTTCATCCTGCATAATGCATGATAAAATAATCACATTAAAACCTCTAAAATGTTTCATCTCATACATTAGTCTAAAGATTAGTCTAAGATTATCTTTTTCCGATCTTCGTCTGTCCTTTCCCTGCTCGCGCGCGTATCTATCCCCACTACTGGACGCCTATACCTTCGAGTTTTAAATGGTTAGTTGCATTTCATTCTCACCCTCTTTCTCTCTCTCTCCTCTCTCTCTCTCTCTCTCTCTCTCTGCGGGCGTCGACAGACCATAAAATTTTCATTATTCATAAAAGCACTGCAGATCGGGCCACAGTTACTGATAGTAGCACATTCTCTACTCTATTGTTTCTCATTAATTTTTGTTACTTCTTTCAACACCCTTTCTTTACAACTTAATTGGTATATACAGTTACTTTAACGCTACTAGAATTTAATTAGGAATTAGATTGATTTGGAAAATACGCACATTATATACGCGGACAGCTTTCGCAAATTTTTTAAGTTGCAGTTACATTACAAAAGAATATGTCGTTATAATAATTAATGTGTCAATTGTAATGCAATGTGTGGTTTAAGATTTTTTGAGCAAATGTGTACACAGTGAAATAACAAAAAACGATTATTACGGGCGGTTACGGCAATGTTGCTTATATATCTGTTATTAATAAGCGATATAATTTCTCGGTAGAGATGGAGCCTTACGATCTCCGCAATATATTAGATGATTGCCTCATAGAATTAGAGGAGTCTAGAGACGAGTTAGTTGCTGTATTTAATTATCAACGATTAATTAGATGGAGAAACAGACGATTTTGGATGCATCCAATGAATGAGGGAAGACTTTATGGTGAGGAATTTTTCGCAAACGAATTTCAGGATATGAAACAGCATTCTCGATTCAATCGATACGTTAGAATGGATATTGATTTATTTGAGTATTTATTGCAACTGGTGGAATTAGAAATTTCACCTTTAACCAATAAACGAACAGATGCGCTGAGCAACGATTAGCTATGACACTAAGGTAATTTTATAATATAATGCTCATATACGTATGTTCAATGTTCCACGAATCAGTTTTCTTCTTCAATTTTTTATTTGTTACATAAAAGGTATTTTCGGAATTCACTTTTTATCTTTTCCACTTGGTTATAAGTTTGAGATATAAATGATATTTTTATTTTGCTTTTAACTTTGAAAAATAATTTTTTGAAGATTTCTTTCAAAAATACATTATTGCATTGAATAGTCGAAATTGGTTGCATTATTCACATTATTTCATTCTCAGTATCGTGGAGCAATTTTTTTCTTTTCATTAGGATACTTATACAATAATGTAAATACATATGAGTTAAATGAGCTTTTAAGTTTGAGCGTAGAATAAAAGTTGAAAAAAATTTATTGTATGTTATTCGTCATGACAAAAAGCCAGAAAATGTAAATAAATGGCTTACATTTGTTAAGTACAAGAGAAGCAACGATTTTGATTTAATAAAGGAAAGTCGCAGTTTTTAAAAACTTTAATTTTCATTCAATGAATAGCTTTCATATGTTAATCATATCATAGTTTTAGGACGAACAGTATACATTTCTTTTATAATCTGATCATACTACAACTATATTTATACGTGATCTTTTTCACATTCTTAGCAACCGGCGATCAAGTAAATTCCATTGCCGAGGTTTATAATGTTGGAGAATCGCCTCTTTACTACATAATTACCACCACTTGCGATGCTATTTACAGAGTTTCGTCTCCGATATATATAAGCTTTCCTTCAGAACAAAAATGGCGTAATAACGGTAGAAGTTTTGAGCAACGATGGAATTTACCTCATTGCCTTGATACCATTGACGGCAAGCACATACATATACGAGGTGTGTTCAAAAAGTAAGGTGACTTTTCAAATTTCACGGGCAACGTACTTTCGATTGTCGATTATTTTGTTTTGTTATGTTGGTACACTCTTCCCGAACATCTGTACCAAGTTTCAAGTGTATAGCATTTTTTGTTTGGTTGTGAGAGGCGTAAAGGTTATAAGTGTTTTGTGTGCTCGGCGATTTCTTGCTATCGAAAAATATGGATCAAAGGATTTGCATCAAATTTTGTGTAAAAAATAAAATAAAGTGCTCCGAAACACTTGAAATGTTGACGGTGGCATACGGTGAAACTGTTCTGAGTAAAAAAAATTTTTACAAGTGGTACAAACTCTTCCAAGATGGCCGGGAAGATGCCAATGACGAGCCTCGCTCTGGACACCCAAGCACGTCAACAACTGATGAAAACGTTCAAGCAGTGAAGAAAATTGTTCTGAAAAATCATCGAATCACTATCAGAGAAGTTGCTGAGGATGTTGGTATACCGCTTGGCTCGTGCCATGAACTTTTTTCTAACGTTTTGGGCATGAGACGTGTGTCAGCGAAGTTTGTTCCGAAATTGTTAAATTTTGACCAAAAGAACCGTCGCATGAGCATCGCTCAAGAACTGTTGAATGACGTCAACGACGACCCAGATTTACTCAAAAGGGTCATAACTGGTGACGAATCATGAGTATATGGTTATGATATCGAAACCAAAGTCTAATCGTCCCAATGGAAGAGCCCAGATAAGCCAAGACCGAAAAAAGCACGCCAAGTTCGATCAAATGTCAAAGTTTTGTTCACTGTTTTCTTCGATTACCATGGCGTGGTGCATCAGGAGTTCTTACCATATGGACGTACGGTCAATAAACAGTATTATCTTGAAGTTTTGCGCCGTTTGCGAGAAGCAATACGAAGAAAACGCCCAGAATTGTGGAAAAACAATTCATGGCTTTTGCATCACGATAATGCCCCTGCTCACTCATCTTTGCTTGTGAGAGATTTTTTGGCCAAAAACAACACCACAATCATGCCTCAGCCACCATATTCACCGGATTTGGGCCCATGTGACTTTTTCTTGTTCCCATAACTAAAGAGACCTATGAAAGGACGGAGATTTGCAACGATTGAAGAGATTTTTTGTAAAAAAAATTTTTTGTAAAACAAGACTGCATCGCTGGAAGAGCTCAAGGCTATATCGAAAAGTGCTTATGAGAAGTGCTTTGAGGATTGGAAAAACCGTTGGCATAAGTGTATTGTATCTGAGGGGTATCACTTTGAAGGGGACAACATAAATATTGATAAATAAATAAATATTTTTTCTTAAAAATACAAAGTCACCTTACTTTTTGAGCACACCTCGTACAAGCTCGCTCTCATTCAGGTTCACTTTTTTTCAATTACAACAAAACCTACAGCATTGTACTCATGGCAGCTTGCAATCACCGATACGAGTTTACGTGGATAGATGTTGGTGCCTTCGGAGGTGAGAGCGATGGTGGGATTTTCTCAAGGAGTGCTTTTGGTTCTCATTTGCAAGATGAAATTTTACCAATTCCAAAAGAGTATAGTAATTTACCTGGTTCACGGATTGAAGTGCCATATTTTTTCATCGGTGATGACGCTTTCGCGCTAAGACCAGATTTCATGAAGCCCTATTCAGAAAGAAATTTAACTGAGGCACAAGAAGTATACAATTACCGCATTTCTCGAGCAAGGAATTGCATGGAATGTGCACTTGGCATATTAGTTAAAAGATGTAAAGTATTGGAAGGACGCATTGGAATTCATTCTAAAGATATTGACAGAATTGTTCTGGCGTGTGCATGTTTACATAATTTTGTAATGAGCCGCACTCAGTTTGAATCAAGGAGCTGCTCTACACATGGAAATAATAATCAATAAAGGCAGCAACCACGTGATGTTGTAGGTCGAGCAACATTACGCGAAGCTTTGCAAATTCGCAATCATTTGACCAATTATTTTATGAGCCGCGAAGGACAAGTTTCTTGGCAGTTTGAATACATCAACCGTGGAACTAACCGAGAGTTTTAAGATTAACTTATTCTATAATTTTAATTTTCTATTGTTTGTAAAATTATGTAAATATTCACTTTATATATAAGACTTTCATTACCAAAAAATTATCATTATTTTAAGTATGCAATAAACATACGAACTTTAGCGTTGTTCGTCTTTCGCATGACTATTTGTTATTTTACACAGATTAATCTTTTTGCACCGTAGCACATACAAAAAATGAGATCCCATTAATTTCATACCATGTTTCAAGCTATTTCATATAAAAAATTTATTATACTCGAACTACTGCATACTCATTTTTGTTTTACCTGTAACATTATATGTAATACATAAAACCTACTTTATTGTTTCTCGCTGTAGCGTGACGTATATATTACGAGCTACTTTCTAAATTAATGTTTTGTTTTTTTTTTAACAAAAAAAAATAGTTTTGTATCATGTTTTCATTTTTACAATAAAATTAAAAGAAAAAATATATATACATCTTATTTTTCTTCTAATTTCATTTATAAATAATTTTATAATTTTATTTTATTTTTGATAAATAATTTTTGATTAGCCAAGCTTTTAAAATCACAGCTCTTCGAACGCAGATAAACAAATTCATGAAATCCTTAATTACAACGGACATGTTACTTCTATATTTAAAATTGAAAATCACAAAGCTTCAATCATAATTTTCCATTTAAAACCCATTGACTGTATAGTTTTTGTGGCAAAAATCGTTAAAAATCCGTTAAGAATCCGTTTGTACTTGTAAAATATCATTTTAATTGGTACTTCGGCTGATTTTCGTTATTATAAACTATCATTAGGTTATCATTTTCAATTGATATAGACTTTTAATGAGTATAGGCAACTTTTTTCATTTTTCTAACAATTAAACGCTGCATGTATAACAAATCAGCCTAATTGAATGAAGAAGTGTGAGAGTCGGATGTGTGTGCAGTATGATTGTGTGAGTGCATCGGCGACGTGCTTTAGGTTATGTTTGTGTGGTTGCCGGTCGGGGCATTGACTGTTTGTAAACAATCCCCAATCGATTGCAATCGTAGTTTTTTAAAACATTTATGGAATTCATTGTTACTTTGATCATGAGAGTTGAATTGGATGATACCAACGATACCGAAGAAGTCATTTTTGACACCGACAATAAAGATGTGAATGAAGTATTTCTCTGGGTGTTACAAAACTATCCACGAATTTTTCAAAAGGATCACAAAGAACACTTTGATCGTACAGCTATAAGTAATTCGTGGCTAGAAATTGATGACCAGATGCATGAAGATAGTATGTAGAGTTAACATTAATATCCCTTAAGATTAGGATTTTATTAAATACCTACTCTTTTTCTCTCAAGTATTCAATAGTATATAATCATTTATTCATATATTTTCATTTAATGAATATTATGTTCGCAGTCTCTGTAAGCATGGTTAGATGGGCTCAGTTAAAAGATGCTTACAGGCGAGAGATGGAAAAATAAAGCAAAGAAGAATGTATTGGGAGTGGGGCTCCTAGAAGAAAAAGTCTTTTTCCTTTTGTCGACACTATCAGAAGCATGCTATCAACATCTCAATGCATGAGATTGTAAGTTGAAATATATATAAAAAAGTTTGTTATTACAGGCATTACATGTTGAAAATTTCCACAGTGAGACGAGCAATTTTTCTTTCAAGGACAATGGAAAATCATCTTGTTCACAAAATTCAAGATTTTACACTACCAAGTCGTTTAGCAAGAGAAATAACAGCCAATGTCTTCTCATGAGAGCGTTAACCAATCATGAGAAGAGAGCAAATAGGCTTGAAACTAATTTTAACCGAGCACTTAGTTCAGTTCAATCAGCAAAAGATGTTGCTGAGAAAGATCACCACGATTTTGGTGTCAGGAGCCACACCCCGGTCCTCACGGACCGTGAGCATCGGTCCAGCATCAGTAGCTCCCGGGGCTCTCTTCTCCTGAGCCAGCGCTGGCACGCTGTGGCGGATTCCTGTCCATTATCTATCCGCAGCAGAGCCTCTCTGTAGGCCCTTTGGCGTTGAGCCACCTCTGCCCACTCCCCAAGCAGTTCTTCTGCGCCCTGGCGGTTCATGAAGCATTTCAGGTGCTCCTGCACCTGAGACTGGAGGTCCGTTGTGAATCGCCAGGCACTCTCCACCTTATTAATCCCCAGAGGTACGTGTCTGACGTCGAGGAGGAGAGTTGGCTGCTCCAGGATACGGGGGTGGCTTCAGACCCAGTGCGATGCCCCACAGGTTTCCTTGGGTCCTGGGCACTGGCTAGCACTGTCCGACGTCTGGGGTATGTCGGACTTGAGGGTCTGCACTCCCTGATCCACGGTGGACTCGGAGCGAGCCACGATGCGTCCCGAAGAACGTCCGCCACCGATCTATTATGGCGTTCCCTTCGGGTGGCCCACTCCAACTGGACCCTGGCGAAGCTAAACAGATCTTCTATAAGCTGCGCTGCATCAGGACCCAATTGCAGATCTAGTAACATCTGCGTGACACCTTCGAAGGTCTCTTCCTCCACGACGATTCTCCGGTTCATATCTGTAACATCCAAAACAAAAAAAAAATCTCGGATGAAACTTCCTGCGTGAAGAAAAACCCTATCAGATGCCGTGTCCCACCGAGTTATTCGTTCACTCGCTATTTATCGCGGGAACGCCCTGGCCCTCGTCGGTTACTGTTCGGGTTTATCGGCCCAACCGTCTGTTGCACAACGGGCACAGTCTTTCGAGGCCTACATCTCCCTCTAGATTTCTTTATAAGAAATCTTTCTTATATTTATTATATTCTTATTTTTTATTCTTTCTTTTAAGGGAGAGTTGTTGCCTCTTGCTTGATCGGTGACCGTTTTTGGGACCTTTCGAGGTCGACCTCGACCTCTCTTGGTTGAGGCAGATACCGGCAAATCCGATGTCTGTGGGATCGTTACCTAAGACCGTGGGAGCTGCTAATTCGATCCGCTCGCTTGGCAAATTCCCGCCCGGATCATCACTCGCTTTCGCTGATTCGTTCGCCTCCAATGGCTCTTCTTCTTTCTCTCCTCGCTTTGCTCTTCCTCCCCCGGACCGTAATACGGTTTAAGGTCTTTGGCATGGAAGAGTTCGGGCAGGATCTCTAGCTGATTACCCAATCTGTACGTGTTGGAACCGCAAACCTCTTCAATCAGGTACGGACCAACGTATTTTGGCGCCAATTTGGCTGAAATGCCTTGGGCAGCCGAAGAGAGAATCCTGTTCCTCTTCCATACCCAATCTCCGACCTTAAACTCCGGTTGCCGTCTCTTTCGGTCATAATAAGTCGCCTGATGCGCAGCTTCCTCTTTTGACTTGGAGTTGACCTGCTCCCATAAATTAGGGAGCTTCTCCATATGTTCAGCCCAATCTACCACAGCTTGACCCTTCGAACACTCAAGGGCTTGCTGATCTTGAGATCTCCTGAACGTCACAGGAGGTACCGGCTGACGCCCAAAGATGGGCATCGCAGGACTATTTCCGGTGGCGCTATGAGTTGCCGAGTTCAACACAAAGCTGAACTCTGATAGGTGCTCATCCCAGCTCTTATGATCACGGTTCACAAACGACATGATCATGGTTTTGAGCGTCCTGTTTACTTGTTCTGTGGGATTCGCTTGGGGATGATACACGGGAGTCAAGGCGCGCTGGATGTCATTCTTCTGGAGGTATGAATTGACTTCCTGATTCTTGAATTTGGTTCCGTTATCCGACAAGAATACCTCTGGCGCGCCAAACCTAGTGACAATCCTCTCGTATAATTCCTTTACGATTGTCCTCCCATTGGCTTTGCGTATCGCAACGCATTCTACACAGAGAGTAAATACTCAATACCTCGAGAGCTTTTGGGAAATGGACCATTGACATCACCGGCCATCACCAGCCAAAGTCGTGGCACTTGTCTATGACCCATCAGCCCGCAAGGTGTCCTTTGTTCCACCTTGCACTGCTGACATAGAGTGCTCTAATCTTAAAGTCACCTATGTCAACCACCACCTGGTCTCATCCTCTGGGTCATATCCACAAGTCATATCCTTTCCTCCATTCACCGCACTTCTCAGCAGTTTATTCCCTTCCGCTGATGCTACGATGATGGGCTTGCTCGTACTCGTGGATTCCTTCGGCAGGGGATCTATTTGTCTATAGGGGCCCAAACCTTTCAGGTCTTCGGGTTGATCGATCCTTAGATCTATCGAGTCTTCCCCATCTTCCACAATCTATATGTAGCCACCTGATCCTTCCAGGATGACCACTCCCCTATTCTGCCGAGGGCTGGCATCGGGCTCGATCGCCTTCTGCTCCGATGTACCGCTAGGTTCTGGGCTCTCTTGATGCTCTACCAGAACCTGTTTGGATCCCTGGATCACCGACAACTTGCTCTTTCCAGTTGACGACCCGCAGCGAGAGTTCGAATTTACTGGAGGCGCGAAGATGACCTCTTCTCTTCGCTCTCCGTGCCGTTTTCCTTGTTACAAACTGGGCAGAATTTATGGCTGAAACCCAGTTTGCCATAAGCGGAACACTGAAGAGGCTTGGTGAAGTCGATCTTCCGCCTCTGCCCTTCTCGCCGCTCGCCAGGAGACCTGGGAGAAGGAAAATTCTTCCTTCTCCCACGCCATCGGCTTTTACGCTGTTCTGGAAGGCTGTCTTGACTTTCCTCGGATAATTTGCGCAGAATCCTCTGAATGCCCTCCAGACGCTCCTCTATCTTCTTATCAGAAGTGGAGGTTTGTGTAGCCGATACCGTCGCTTGCTCGGTAAGCCTCCTGGCAGGGTTTTCCACGCCCTTTCCGCTCTGGGGATCTCTCGCTCCGACTTAACTGAATTTGGATGTTCG